CCTAGACATTTACATGTATTATTTCAGATTTCCCCCAGGCTGTGAATGTGCCTGATTTACTAGTTCAGCTCCTTCAGAGGCGAGGTGGCAGTCAGGTTTTGCAAAAGCGTTTTTGAACCTTGATGGTTTCACTCCTGACTGTCATAATAATTACACCTTCCTCTGAGGGTAAGGACCTTTTCTACTCATCGGTTGAAACTCTGGTGAATCTGTAATGCATTGGTGCTTGAGGTTTAGCAGTATTCTGCATTTGTCCGTGCAAGTACGTCTAAACAGCAGTAGCATATCTGCGTCTAGAGACTTGAAGTCGCCCTCTATGCTGCTCTGGTATAGGAAAAAATACAGTTCCCTGAGAGCAGAGCAGTACTTGAAGGGAATCAGAAGTATTGGATTTGGTGGTTCTCAGTGATGTTTCTTGAAAGGTAAGAGTTTTTCTTGGGCAGGAAAGCTATATGCGAGATGGTATAGCAGACTATCCTTGATCATATCCAGACATGTATTCAGTAATACTGTTTTCCTGTGTAGGAGCATCTATACCAGATGTGACCAAAGTCCAGGCTAACCAGTATTCCTTCTTCAGCAGCCCGAGAGACAGTGCTCAGGAAGGTGTGCCTGGGATGAGGCACATCTCTCGGCGTCCTGGGCATATGCTGACGCTGCAGTTTTCCAAAACGCTGGAAACTTGGCAGTGTAATTTTGGTAGTAGGAAACTGCATTCACACTCTGTCTTGGAAATAATAAATGACCAGGCCCCAGCAAGTTGCAGAAACTCAACTTCCTCCCACTCTTAGCTAAGCTGACTGTACAAAGCATCAGCTGGAGGGAGTGTGACATGGAGGATTTGAGGAGTGTGAGGCCAAGTTCTCTGCCTTTGTGCTGCCCTCTCTGTGGGCAGAGCACTACTGGGTGGTGTGGGCTGGCTTCCTGGGTGCCTCTAAGAAGCGGAGAGCATTGCCAGGGTGCTGTGTGTGGTGCCTCTCTGCATTACTTACAGATTTTTAAGCTTTCGACTCCCTTTCTTTTTCCATTTGTTGTTTCATATAATCGCTTGGTTTCTCCTTTTGGGGTCCCCCTTTTCAGGGAGGGCTCTTGGGTTTTCTTAGGGTTATGCACCAGCATCCTCTTGTCTTTAAGTGAGAGAACCAGATGGAAGCATGCGGTGTTTCTCCCAAATAATCTTCCAGCCTCTACCAGGGTGCAGTTCAGGCATGTATGAAAAAGATGTTGTCTCTTTGTCTGTAATGCCTGTCGTCAGTCTTGTTTTTCCTCCTCCCGTGGATTTGTCCATTTTATTTTTAACCTCTGTAAACTCAGTGTCCACGAGGCATGTGGCAATGTTGCGCAGTTCATTTAGTGTGGGAAACGTGTTCGGCTTTTCAGACCTATTCTGAGTTCATTTCAGTGGTTGCCTCTGAGCTCTTCAACTAGAACAGTGTACAGTCATTATATTTACCTTCTCTGTGCTGCTTCTGATACACTTCTCTGTTATATCACTCCCCCTCACTTACCTCTACTCCAGACGCACGAGTTATAATTCATTTCTTATTATTAAACATCTTCCACATAGGAAATTTCTATGTCTTTGATAAGACTTGTTACTTTTTTTTAACCTTTCCTATTTTTGCAATATCCTGAAACAATACAGAAATCATGATTTGTATTTTATCTTGGAGAGTTGTTGACCCTTGGGGCTTTTTGAATTGTAATGGACTATTTGAAGTTAAGAGGCTCTACCTAAGAAAAATGTTGTAAATACAATACCACTTTCCTAGGTAACATATAGTAGTATGCCTGTTACATCGTTCACACATACCTAAGAATTGTAGTAAAAGTTCTTTTTAGTTCTCAGTCTGTATCTACAAATGGGATAGTGGTGAGGAGTGCTTAATGAAAGTATATTACTTTCCAAAATGTACTGGAGAACATTTGTTTGGATAATTATGAATAGGATTTTTCTGATAGCTGTACTGTTAGGTTTTAATTAAGGTCACAGTCCTGTCATGTTGTCTGTGTGAGTAAAATATTAATTCCCCACTTCTAAGAATTCTTCCTATAAAATGATACGATAGGGAACAAGAAGTCAAGAAGGGAAGGTGAGGACATTTAGGTCCACATGGTCTGCATCTACTGTGTATATAGCTTAACCAAAGAGTAGACCAATAAGTGGTAGAATGGCTTAGTTCTTTGAAGTAAAATAAAATAAAATACACAGATAACGAATACTGGTAACCCCTGTGTTGCTCTTATTTTTACACAGCAGAACTAACTACACTTGCCTTTTGTAATTGGTACTGTTAGTATGTTTCCAGAAGCTAGAGATGTGTTGATCAGTGAAAGCCCTTAGGAAAGGAGTTCATTGGAGGACGTCTAAGGTCAGCCGATAACTAAAAAAATCTGATTATCAGCCGAGATGTACATTACATACTAAGAAGAAATATTTAGAGCAGGCAGACACCTTTAAATAATAAACAAAGGATTTGTTCTTCTGAGAGAGATAATTTTAAAATGCTCTCTGAAAGTTTCTGCTCTGAAAAATCTCATTAGAGATGCCGTATACTGCCCCTGAAGGCTGGATACTGAGATATTAAAAGTAATAAAGTAAGTAATTTGCAGACCCAGCAATTAATAATTTTTATTAATAAAGTGAATGCAATTGATAACAGCTTGGGAGCCACTAAATTTGAGAATGACTGTATCATTTGCAATGTCTCTTCAGAGTGGACCAGCATTCTAAATACAAAGATTTTTCAATGTGCACATATTTTAGCAGATTTGCTTCCAACTGTGTATGGTTTTGTAGTCAACTAGCTTAAAATGTATATCAATCCGTAAACATTACTACTATCTTTACGTGGATATCAGGTGATCCTGGATATAAGGTGATCCCTCACCTCCATCCAACCCCTCATTTTTTGTTTTGCCCAGAAAGGGGAGAGGCACAGAGAGATGGAGAGGTGCATTTTTGGTGTAATTAAATTTGTATTTAAAGCCAGAGTTGCAGAACTATGTAGAACCGTCCCTGTAGTGCAGCTCCCCAAATGAAGATTTAACTCCATGTTCAAGCCAAGTGTGTTCGCTCTGTGTACTGAAGGGATATGATGTAACCAGACGTAACCTGCCACATTGCAGTGCTTGTGTTTTGGTCAAGTAGTAGTAGGCAAATACCGAGGGAGGGGTGGGGCATACAGCCCTTTGGTACCCTGTTAATGAGCTTTATGGCCCCTTTGAGAGATTGGTGGTATGCAAGGTCTGCTGTAAATTTGTAAAGGATTAGGAAATAGTTCTGCTGCATAAAACCCCCACATTTTTCTTGGGAGCCGAAACTTTTATTTTTGACTGTCCATTTAGCAGACAGTCAAATGGAATGGCCATTCTTAGTATACCTGATCATGATCTATCTGTTTTTGTTTAAAATGCACACCTTTAAGCTGTAGAGCAGATGTGGGATGTGAAATATTTTTGTTAAATTCTCAAACTTTGTTTGGATGTTTATCAGGAAAGTGATATGCCAATCCAGGAGCTACTTAGCCGTTACGGCTATGATGGTACCATTCCACTCCAAGAAGATGATGATGATGAAGATGATGATGAAGAAGAGGAGGAGGGAGAAGATGATGATGATGTTGATAATGATGACAACAGTGGCTGTAGTGGTGAAAACAAAGTAAGTGTTTACACTAATTTGAAACTGATTTTCCTACAGCCATTCTGTACTAGACAACCACTCAAGATGCCAGATCGTGGCAGAAGTAATGCATAATATAGTTGATTTCAGATGCTTTGTGTACTGAACTCTAATGTTTATTCTTAATTACCCAGCTGTATTTCTCTTCATCGCTCTTAATTTCATCTGTATCATTCCAAACTGTTGCTGCAGCAAATTAGGGTACATGTATACGTATAGCATCATGTAAGAAGGTATTGCACTTGTCCTTCAGAAATAGGCTAACTTCAAAACTGAAGTTGTAAATGCCTGAAGGTACCTTTGTAGATATGGCTGAATACTTGTCTCAGGATGAAAAGCTGATCTACTGAAACTCTGAACAGTGAATTGTGGAATTGAATTAAATGTGTCTCTGAGTATTGGAGATGGCTGCAATTTTTTTAGCTTTAGCATTTTAAATTGTATTTTTTCAGCCTGGCAGCCCTGGTTGTACTTAAGTTGTTAACTGAATCTAATGCTTCAAATATCTTTGCAAAATGTATAGTTTTGAATTTAGCATCTTTAAAATCCTCTTCTGTGTGCTCTTAAAATAAATTTTCTGATTTTAGAAGAGTCTTTTCTACTTGTGTATGTCGTACGTATTTGTAGCAATCCTGTCCTGTCATGGGCACAGCTGTAACTTCTCCATTACTGGTGGCATTCAGAGTTGCATCCTGAATTCCATTAAAATATGAAACCGTTTGTATTGTCAGTAACAAAAAAGCTTAGGCATTAATGGAAGTTGCATTACCTAATCTGGCTTTTAAAAGGGTACATTTTGTTCTTTGATGTCTTACCCATTTTAGAATCTCTGGAATGCGACACAGAGATGAGGAATGATATATCTGATTCAGAAAATGAAGTTCTTAGGATTTACAAACTCCCTTGACAGATGCTGTGAAAGATTGCTACTTGTATGGGTTGAATAGTTCAAAAAGAAGAAAGATACATAGTTATATTACATCCGAAAAGGTTCAAGAAGCTGGAGGGGGGGAGAAACTTACATAACATGAAGTATGCAAAATTAAAATAAGACACAAAAGTGGTTTATTTTGTTGTGCGTGGAGGTGTTCCTGAAGTCCCACTTTCTTCTTGTGTCCTTGCTTCTTAATTACTTCCTGACGCAGCTTCCATCTTCTGTGTTCTCATGACCTCCTCTGTAGTTCTCCAGTTCTTTTACTAGCTGATTTAAGATACTGCCTATCTTTTCTCTTAAATGGATGAAATCTCAGTGTCTGTCACTGCTGTTAGCAGCAAGAGGCATCATCTTTGTCCCTCTGTAGGGGACTAACACTTTGTAGCGTGCTGCAGAAGCAAGTGTGTTCCTGCCCGTCAGCAGCAACGCTTGACAGTTTGGCACCATAAACACAGCCAATGGGTGAGCTTAATTGCAGGCTTGGCACTGTGGCTGAATAGAATGTGTGTGTTCACCTATTCTACCCCAGTTTTGGTAGGGTTGGATCAAAGGTGGTGGGGAGGACGGGGCACAAAGAGAGCTAGTGAACCTGTTACAGTTGTTTGCCTCAGGGTACAGGAATGAGAGCTCTGAAATGCTTGCATGCACTTAGCAGAGAGGCAGTAAAATACATCTGTGGGGGTGGAATAATTTTATAAATCATTCAAGCTTTCTCTGCAAGTGCTCATCTTTCTACAGCTTATTTAGCTATACCGCGCTTAGCTATTTTCTATTTTTAATCTGCTTTAAGCTGCACATGTGATAATACTCTGGTTGCTGGTAAAGGTACACATAAACATGCACTGTGCCTAATGCATCTGTGAGAGAACTAGCGAGTATGAGTGCTTACAACATAGTCATAGAACACATAAAAGATATTGACAACATGCATTGAAATAAAAAATGCTAATTTTTTTTTAACCTTTATTATTTTAATTTTCCTTAATTGTAATAATTCCCATAGTTGTTGTGGTTTATGTTCTAATAAAGAAACTTGTTCTAAATTTTTGATCTTTTAATGACTCTATGTACGTACTCGAGTCTACTGATATGCTATTCCTGTGGGGTTGAACCACGCTATTGACATTAATTTTTATGGAAGGTACCATTTCCATTTGATTGAGAAAAGTATAGCCAGTAAATAATTCCTCCCCTTTTTTACTGAAAATTCATAAGGAAGGGTTTTAAAGACTGAAGTGAAATTTAAAGTTAAATGAAATTAAATGAAAACTGCAAGGATTTGCTTGACTAATTTAAAAAACTAGGCATGATATTTAATTGTGGTTCATATTTCTGATTTGTATGTTAGAGTCTGAGTGTTAAATTGATCTGCTTAAAATCCTGGTCAATAAATAATGTGATTGTTTAACACATTTGTTGTGGCTCAGTCTGGACAGGCCACAATCTAGACAGTCACTCCAAGTCAGATAAAAGATACTGGGATTTGATATATTGACAATTTTGGAAAAAATATGGCCGAAATAGTGTTTGTCACATACAAAGGATAGCTGATCTCCTGTTTGCTTTTTTATATTTAAGGAGGAGACCATAAAAGATTCATCAGGTCAGGAAGATGAGACACAGTCATCTAATGACGACCCAGCACCATCTGTTGCTTCTCAAGATCCACAGGAGATAATTCGCCCTCGTCGATGTAAATATTTTGATACAAGTATGTACAGTTTAGTACTAAGCACAGTAAGCTCAATATGATTGACCTTTGGTTAAGAACTGCTTGAGTTAACATAGTATTGTTTCTGAAATACGCATGTTGATACCTATAAACATTTGTTTGTTCTCTTTCATAACACTGCTCTTGATTATCCTTATGCTCAAAATAATAAGCAACAAAAAAGTCCTATTTTTAGCTGAATGCTAAATCTTCTCTGCAGATAAGGGACTCTGTATAAGGACAGTAGATATTCTCTCTTCTTAAAAGAAAGGATTAAATTTGCGAAAAAATTTAGATTTCTACAGTTTTGAAAAAGCAGGCTCTCAGACATGACACTACTCCGAGTGTTGTAACAGTCCAGTTTGTGATCCTGCAAACTGGTTTGTATGGATGTGCCCTTCAGAAAAATTTTCTTGTACATGGAGTCCAGGTGCGGTAAATGACTGTTTAGTATGGTATTACCTTACCATCATAGTTTCAGCTGCCAGTTCATACTAAGGACATAGGTAAAAATATTTGCAAGTAGGAAATGAACTGTTCCAACTAGATAATTGCTGCACAGTGTGTGGTTGTCATGACAAGGCCCGGTGACACCAGTTTATGTACTCATTGAAAGAAGGTGAGAGTCCAACTGAAGGAAAAAGTAAAACCTGAATTTTTTTCAGATTAGATTTAGATTTCTTCAAGAAATAGAACCCCAGATTTCTTCAAGATCACTAACACAGAAAACAAGAGCAGTGAAATCTGAAAAAGGCCAATGGATTGTTAAACGTGAAATAATGAAGGGGAAGATAACAATGAGGAAAATTTGCTTCAAGAATTCCACATTTGATACTGTTACCAGCATTGTGGACTGAGTATTTTCTCTCTTGTTTTGTTTAAAAATTGATTTTGCATCCATTTGATACTGTTGAGCTAGTGTTATGTAGCTGTCCCTTTAGAAACTCACTTCTGTGGCAGTCTTACTTAATGGGATCTGAACCTTTTAGTGTTGAGCTATCATCAGGGCTGTTTGGACAACAGATATCTTACCTTTCTTTGATGGAAGTGACTGTCGCCGATGTTTGGATTCCTACTGTTCTATGTTTTAACAAACAAAAGTTAAAGCAAAGGTTCCTTATGATACCTTATACTTGATACTTAATGACATTGTAGAAATGCCATTTTCTAATCTGCAGTTTGTTTTAATCCAAAAATGCCAAGGAACCTCAGCATGTAGCTGTGCAGAGGATTTGCTTGTATCTTAAATGAGCTCTATTTTTTAAACATAGCATTAGCATAATGCACGTGGATTGCAGTAGGTTTTGGTTTTTTTACAATGTTCAGCTGTGTATAGAATGTAATTTAATGTACAAATAATTTTAGTGCTGATATTATCACTTGCTATACATAAACCAGATATTGCAGTTGCTTTCACTATGTTGCGAAAGGCAACTAGCCTATATCATAAAGAGCTTAAAATTTTTGTCAGTCCTTATCCGAAATGATCTATTTTAAATGCTGCTGTGCATCTCTGAGGAGTACATCTAAGCCTACTAAATCCCAGTAAGACTGAGAAAAGCACACTTGCAGATTTCTTGCACCTTGTGCTGTGGTCTACCTTAAATTCAGTGACAGCTGCTGTAAGGGAAAAAGAACAGCAGTAACTAAGCTAGGAGCTCATTGAAAATGGTGTTGAAACCCACATGTGGATGCTGAACATCCACATAAAAATACTTTCAGAAAGTAACTGTTCGTAGTAAATTTGGCTGTGGATCATCTCAACTGCTTCAAAGCTGGGTGAGGGAAAGCAAATTTTAATTAGGTAGTAGTAAAATTGATGGATGTATTCATTTGTGCCATAACTTTTCAGAGCCTGTTGTGTGTCTTAATCCGTTCTAAATGTGAACATTGGGAGGGTCATTTTTTTAAAGTTGTCAGTATTGAAACATTCAGTATTGTCACTAAAACTGCCATTTGCACTTGTGTGGTGTTAGATGAGATGATAGTGAGGCAGAGCAGGGCTGCTGCGCAGCTGGAGGCTGGCGGGATGAGAGGCTGGGCTCACGTGCCCCCGTCACCCTTTGCGGTGCTCCCAGGAGCTGGCTGTGACGTCCGGGCTGCCGCGCTCAGCCCGCTTTGCTGGAGGCTGGCATTGGCATGCGCGGGCCCCATCACAGCTCGTTTTGTGTAAACGTTTGAACGATTTCTTGTAGATAGTGAAATAGAAGAGGAATCTGAAGAAGATGAAGATTACATTCCCTCGGAAGACTGGAAAAAGGTAAATATTAAGGGCTGTTAAAAAAGTCTGTGTTTCATGAATGTTGAGTTGATCTGTTTCCTAGTAACTCTGAGCTCTATAGACCACCCAAATCCTCTCCAGTTTTTCCCCATAAATATAAGAAATGCTAAAGACCTCCCCAGATAGTCAAAAATACATTTCCATATCATGCCTGTTAACTGTATTTTTAGATTCTGAGCAATGAAAGTTTTAAGGGGTAAAAAAAGATGTGGTCATTCTCTTGTTTACTGACAAAAAACATCACAGCGGCCGTTGCTTAACTTCTTGTTTCTGTTATTTCAAAACAGGAAATCATGGTAGGCTCTATGTTTCAAGCTGAAATTCCAGCTGGCATATGCAAATACAAAGAGAATGAAAAAGGTGAGACTTAGCACTATTAACATTATCGCTGTGTTTGAGATTATTTTGTAATGGGGAGAAATAAAAGATTTGATTGATGTCATGTGTCTTGCAAAATGAAAGAGCTCCTTCAAGTGAAAAACAGAACCATCGTCTCAAACTAGAGTTCATCCTGTACTTTACCATCAGAGCTTGAGTCTTGGAAGGGGAAAAGGAAGATTATATTGCTGGCCTATTGCCTATTAACTCTTGCATTCTAATTTGGTAATGTACACAAGCTTTCTATGTAGCTTATGTTAACCTCTTCACCTAGTATATTTAGTTTACGTAAAACAAAATAGATAATAAAGAATTGTGTTGCTGGAATTGGATTAACATGTTAAAAGAGCCAAAATGGTACCAGCAGCTTTGATTTTCACATTTTATAACTCTTCGATCAGTATGACAGAACCTCTTGTTCTACTTCTGGGGTTTTTTCCAGGAACTTTTTCCTCCCTCGCAACCAGAGCCTCTGGCTGTATGCTGTCAATATAATCAAGTCAGGAAAGGTAGACCCAGCTGTGAGCTTAAAAGAAGCAAATTTTCCTGCTCATTCAGCCCATTACTAAGAATTTACACTGCGGGTCAGTTTGAGACTCCGGCTTTTGTAGTTTTATGTAAGTTACTTTTTCAACTAACCAGCACAAAACTGGGTGCCTTCCTAGAATCCAAGTATATACTCAAGTAGTAGCAGTTGTCTTGCTTCAAGCTCCAGGTTGCGGTAGCTATGCTGTAGCCTGATCTAGCTAGAAACCATCTAAAAAGAGCATCAGTCCTGCTATTTGATTTAGAGCAGGCTCACACTGAAGCTGACACATTCTGTCATCTCTGCACTTCATAGACAGAGAGGTTGAAGAGAATGTAATTTAAAACTACGTGAGAGGTCGGGAGCTTCCATTAAAAATAGAAAATGGCAAATTAGAAAACATCTGCTTTTTAGCTGTGAAGAAGTTGCTCTTTGCACGCTTTCCTGCTTCTGTCTGAAAATAGAGCTTGAACTATGTATTTGCCTGAGATGCAGTAAATTACGCTTTACTGGTCAGTCAGCTGCTTTTCCTGGTATTTACTTAGCTTTAAATGGCTTCTGGCCTCCAATAATTAAAAAGATATAGCTGCTTTGTGCATTGCAGTAATCTATATAAACCAGTTTTTCATAGTCTTGCACACTACTCTCTGCAGAACAGAGAACCTACGTCATAGGCAAAAACCATTGAGAGGAAAAGTTAGGGCTATTCTAGTTTCATATACCAGTGGGATTTTATATCTTCTGCCACATCTTTCCTTTCTGCTGTGTTTTGGATGTAATCTTTGATAGGACTCCAACTGGAATATTAATGAAACTTAAAAAGTTGAAAAATAAATGTCTGAGACTATGTATTTAGTACTTTCATGTACATATCCCATCATCCTAGTTGTTCTCTAATGAAGGGGAAATTCCCAAACACTAAGAAGGCTAGTCCCTTCATATCCAGTCCCATAAGCAAAAGCACAAAAATGCTAGAACTCTCAGGAATAACCACATTGCTTTTCAGAATGCGTTCTGACATGCTGTTGTGAGGAAAGAATGACCATGTAATCTACACTAAGCTAATTACAGTGGACTGGCTCTCTGAGAAGTATTCCTGGGAACCAAATTAGCTGCTACTAAACAATTTCAGCTTATTAAAAATCTACAAAATTAAAAGATGTTTTCAGAAGGCTTGGACTTGAAAATCGAAGGATAGCCCTGAAAACTGAAAGGTGCTCAAGCTGCTTTGAGACTTACTGACTGCTGTCATTCATAAACATCGCAGTGTACTTAGCTTGCATCGTTAAGGGTGGCTCAGAACCCATTATCGGTTATCTCCTGAAAAGAATTGTTGCTTCTGCTGGAGTTTGTATCCCAAGATACCTAGAATCTTTTTCTTAAATGAGCAACCAAACATCAGATTAGGACTAGCTTTTGGAAAAAAAGAGCTCCCAGAAAATTGTTGGGAGCTGTTTCCAAAGAGTATGTCGTTGGTAAAATGGAGCTGTCTTTCTTTGCAGGACACTTAATAATTTTCCTTACCGGTTTTGTTCTTTTATTTATAGTCTTTCATGTTAAAAATAATTTTTTTCAAGTGGAGATGCACCTAGCTGCTACTCTGACCTTTCCACCTGCACAGAATGCTACCGTATCTTCCCCTCCTGTGCTGACCGTGCTTTCCCAAGTGCTTGCTCCTTCTTTCTCTTGTTGAGTAAGAGTCAAAGGTGCTCACCGAGCTAATGGAATCAATGTTAAGGTTACTTTCTTGCTGGTTTTTGTAAGGTTATCTTTCATTGAGGACTGAGACACAAGCAAGGTCTGGATACTTTTCTGATTCTGTTTTTTAAAAACCTGAATTTTACTTTATTTTGCTGTACTGGTATTTTAATCCTGTAAAGCTTGTAGGTTCTTCAAAATAAAAATGGGAGATAATTCAGAGGATATACCATTTGGCCATGGTCCTCCCATAAACTTCCATTTACTATGGCTTTCCTGGTCTGAAAGCTCGTGCAAAAGCTCTGAAAAAACAGTAGAGATTTGGTAGTAGTAAAATTCAGCGATGTTTACCTGAATTATTTTGGTTTAGAAAGTATTTCTTGGAAATAGTAGGAAGGTCTTAGCAACGTTTCCTTTCAGGAGCTGTTTGACTTCAGAATGCCTGGGTGTCATCTTCCTTGGAGAAGTAGTGGACCCTGTTGCTGGCTTTTGCCAGCCATGTTAGCTGAGACTTTTATATTTAGCGGTCCAGACACCTGGTAGCGTTTTTAGCACCATTTTTGGTGGTGCGCTTTTTGGTTTTATGTGACTGATCCTAATCGTCTTGCAAGAAAACAGATATCATTAGTTTCTGAAATAGTTTTCCATGTCTGCTGGCTGCCGTCAGCAAAACTGCTGCTTAGGGAAAAGGCACGCTGGATGGATCTTCCAGGGACTGTGTCGGGCAGTGCTGCTACCTTGTGATTCAAATGGCCTCAGGGGGAGGACCGGGAAGGTGGAGTTTCTGGAGTTTCATAAATGGGTCCTAGAATCTAGAGCACTGATTATGCCAGAGATTTGAAGACAATATAAGGTATAGTATCCTAGTCATTTGGATCACTGCATTTGTGAGACTACCTTTTACCTGTCCTTGTGTGTGTTCTGCATTAACGTTGGTGCTCTAATGATCTTCCAAGGTTTCATAATCACTAGCTTCATAAGAGAGAATAAACTTCTATATTGTTGTTTTAGCTTGTTTTTCTTTCTCCTGTGGTTAATTCAGTGTACGAAAATGATGACCAGCTGCTGTGGAATCCTGACTTCTTACCTGAAGAAAAAGTGATTGAGTTCCTAAATGAAGCATCAAGGCGTACGGGAGATGAGAAAGGCCTAGATGCAATTCCTGAAGGATCACACATTAAAGACAATGAGCAGGTATGTAAGAGTAATTAGAATTTGTAGTTTAATATTGCAGAATTAATTATCCCTTTATTTTATTTTATTTTACTCCCAAGAATTAAAATTGCTTTTGAAACAGCTTTATTATTCCTTGGGGAAATAGAAGTGTGATGGGTTTTTTTCCTCTCAACAAATATTAAACTGTTAACTTAGGTTTAACATTGCTTTATGTATCAGTGCATTATTTTGTATATAAATAATTGTGTATGAATGATTTCTGGTCTTTCAGTTACAGATTTTTTTAAAGCTATATGAATGCATACTTACTTTTTTTCTTCATACAAAAAAAACCCCATCAATTTTACAAATGTATCCAGTGGATGAAAATGTTAAAATACTTTACCTGGATATATACTTGGTTATGTAATTAGAGATTTGGAAATTTAACAGAGGAAATATAATTTAAGACAGTACAAAGACATATTACATTCATTCAAAGAGTTTATTTTTAATCTTTTCTTAATAGGTATTAGTGATTTACTAAGTATGCTTCTGTGGCACAACATATATTGAGTGGTATCTAGAATGCTAAATGTGTGTCTTTTCATCTTTCCAGGCATTGTATGAACTCGTTAAGTGCAATTTTGATACTGAAGAATCATTACGAAGGTTGAGATTTAATGTAAAAGCAGCCAGAGGTGAGCATACACTGAAAGTTAAGTTTATATTGTTGAACTCTCATTTTATTTGTTACACAGATAGTGGGTTTTGCTGTCAGCAGACTGAGCTTGACTACATGTAAGTCTTAAATATCAGTGCCCATTTAAATGCAACCTTCAGTGAATCCCTTACTGTTCCCTGAGAAAATGAAATTAGCAGATGTAGTATAAACAGGTACATGCTCAGAGAGGGCGTGTAAATTAACTTCCTGTCAGTGGAGCTTGATATAAATATCTGTGACTTTAATAAGAAGTTAAAATTTAAAATTACTTCTTGGTGATTGTGCATTGCTGAATTCTGCATTTCTTGGGCATTTTGTTCTTTGTTCTTCTAGACCTTTTCAGTCATCAAAGTTAATGGAACAAACATAAAATATAAAATGAAATAATTCACAATTCTAAATAAAGGAGAATGAGCATCTAAATCTTTTATTTAAAAAAGTATTACACTAAAAAGACCCTGGTCTTAAAGATGCTTTTGGAGCCTTAAGCACTTCCTGTTTTGATATTGATCTTTATACTCAAAGGAACAAGAAACTAAGAGAAGGCACAAGTTATTTTCCTTGCACATTGATCTGTTGGTTCTGCGTTCAAACCTATGGCTTCTCCAGAGTTTACTGTGCAAATCACAAGACAAGAATGATCAAATAGAGAAGATTAGTTTGTTCTCCCGCTATTTTAATCCTTATTTATTCATGACCTTAAGAATCAATAAGGCCAAATTACATTAAGTTCTTAGAAGTGTGGCTGAAAGTTATTAGGGGTTTATTCTGGCTTCAGTGGGGCCAAGATTTCCCACCTAATAGTGTGAGCAGCACAGTTTCTTTTTCTCTGTAACTGGAATTAACAGCCTATCATTACTGGCTCTTGCCCGCAGTAAAGAAGCTCTTATTCCTCCTTCCTTTTCTCCTGCTTCTTCCAAATACCAGCAACCAGTTTGAGTCCATAGTATGAACTCCTCCATGCTGTGTCCTGGCTTGAAGGATACCTGCTTCCTATGGTTCTAGGGGCAGCATGGTGAGACCAAGTTTCTAAGCCCTTCTTCCTCTTTCTGCTGCCTAGTTATTTCCCCCATGCGGCAGGGTTGGAGTTACGGACCATTTATAACAGCCCTTACCGACTAGCTACGTAAGGCAGCCAAGTCTCCCACCTACTCACTAGAAGGGAGAATTTTCATTTTTGTGCTAGTAAGTGAAATTTCTGGAGGTGGTTCTCATTTAGTCAGCAGATGGTGTAAGAAACTTGAATACCACATATGTTTTCTGTCACTTTAAGTTTTCTTTTATTGACCGTATGCTTTTTTGTTAAGTATTTTCTTTATTGCATTTCCTTGCTATAGAAGAATTATCTGTTTGGACAGAAGAAGAATGCAGGAACTTTGAACAAGGACTGAAAGTCTATGGCAAGGATTTTCATGTGATTCAGGCAAATAAGGTAAACACTGATGTTGTGTAGTTCTCACTTCTTTTTTTAAAGCAATGTAATTGTAAATAAATTCTTATCCTCAATTTCCTTCACAAATTACTGTATTTACTCCTTCTAATTTTTACTACATATATGTCCAGATTGATTTGTCAAAGTCCAGAAATCCTCTGTAACTGTGGCTGTGAACCTTAAGTTCAGAAAAGTGCAAAAATCCTGCTGCGCATACATATGGGAAGATCTGCATCCCGAGAGTCTTATTCTGGTCTTGAATAGACTGGTGAAGCAGACTTGAATCTTTCTCCTGAAGCTGTTTCTTGCGGCACGTCACGATATCTTCAGTATTCTTAGAAATACTGTTAAACTTTGCATTTCAATTTCTAGGCCTCTGAAATTTTGAGTCAATAGTTTCCACTATTTGCTATGTTGTATAAAGAAGCATTGACTTTGAATTTCACACCTTTTGATTTAAATGGTAGCTTTTTGCCAAAAATGTATTTAAATTCATCAAAATTTGCATGGCACGTATTTCCTAGGTACGAACAAGATCAGTTGGTGAGTGTGTAGCATTTTATTACATGTGGAAGAAATCAGAGCGTTATGATTTCTTTGCGCAGCAGACCCGATTTGGAAAGAAGAAATACAATCTTCATCCTGGTGTAACGTAAGATGTGCATTATTTTTATGTGCTTTTACGTGTTGGATCTAAATCTTTATTTTATACTGCTCTAATCTGAAATGGTATGACAGCCTAGGGATTCCAATTTGCAGCAGGAAAACAGCCAAGGTGTAAGAAAAGCTTACTAGTGCGTATAATGTAATTTTTAGAATACATTTATTTGGAATAAGGCCAACAATTTGCATTGAACAGCTTTTTGATTTAGTTTGTTTTCTGTTTAAATGTTTCACAAATGTAACTGCTGCAAATATGTGGAATTTTTAAAATGCTTGTTTTACTTTAAAGACATCTTTTATACAAAGGCGTTAGTCACAAGTTTCAGGTGGGATTTGTGGTACATGCTGTAGTATACAACTCTTGAAATGTATTGTTTGGCAAGAATTCCGGCCAACACAGTACTCCATACCAGGGCTTTTTTGGGTGTATATAGCTCCTTTCCCCATTCACGTCTCTACTAGGCAAAGAGGGAAATGTCTGTGCATAGCTGTATATTTTCCTCCCTCAAATCTGAGCAAGTGAGCCAATGTATTCTTCTGCCCTTCATTCCAATGCTATGACTTTCCGCTGACGTTCTCCAAGTCTTTTTACTATTATTTTTTCTTCTCATTTGTTCCTGGCTTTTCTGTTTATCCTTCTTTTTAATATTGTTTCTTTAAACATTTTAGAACTGTATGTTGGACCGCTGAAGTGAACTTGCAGTATGACATTAAGAGTTGCCATCTGTGGCTTTGTAAAGTAGACTGTTACAGAGAAGCACCCAATGCTGCTGGATTTTCTTAACCAGTTGTTAGGGACTGTCTGTCTCCCTCTCTTCTTCCATCTGGGTTGTTTTTTTTTTTCCGTTTTTGCCCAAATTAGTAGACGTTTTTGGTTGTTAATCACTTAAAACATTCTCTGATTCTTTTGCAGTTGACTGCATATGGTGATCAGAAGAAGTGTCATTAAGGATTGTGCTTGTCTATTCTTGAATGCTTTTGCAGATAGATGTGGGAATTTAGGGTGCAGTATCAGTTCCAGAATAATTATGTGTGAGGATATGCTGTTTCTGGAGTTAATCCAGACTAATACCGTATGTAGAAGGGCTTTACCAACCTTTGTTTAAATCTTTCGTAAGAGATTTACTATTAGTGACCTGAATTGTAGGACTGTAATAGATGTCAGATATGGAAATGTCTTATCTTTAACTCTGAAGTTTTTAATTTGCTTTTAACTTTACCCCTTTTGAGGTTGTACGTGCAGAAAACTTACTTACTTTAATGGTATGTTATCACTGCCACAGCAAATTGCAAGAGCTTAGCATGAACCTGCCTGAGAGCATCACCTTGAAAACACAGTCCACAACATCACAGCATATTGAAGTTTCTGCTTGTGCATGATCTTATGGGACTTAGCATAAGCACAGGCTGAATTTATATAAGCTGGCTGCAGTGATTGGTCAACAAATACGTAGTTGCTGTGGGCAAACCATATGTGGGCCAGTTAACACAGGAGATCTTAAAGTGTTAACTTTGCAAGATAAGTCTGTGCATTTCAAAAGATACAAAATGTCACAAATGATACAAAATTGGTCACACTTGCAGCATATGCAGTGAATATTTTTGTACAAATAACACCAATCCTTTACACAGCAAGAGCAATGCTGAATGTGCTGTTTCTGTTGTGTAGAGATTATATGGACCGTCTCCTGGATGAAAGTGAAAGTGCTGCTTCCAGTAGAGCTCCGTCCCCTCCTCCTACAACTTCCAACAGCAGCACCAGCCAGTCTGAAAGGGAAGACAGCACAACCAGCAACAGTAATCAGAATGGTAAGTGTGTTCCCTGTTCCTACTAAACAGAGTTGCCAAATCATCGGAGATGACAAGCCAAATGAGAAGTTCAGCTTGCCACTTTTAAATATATTCCAAGGTGTTAGTTAGCAGCTTTAAGTTAAAAATGTTTTTTAAAAAAGCTACATTGGCATTTAGCCAGAGGTCACATATTGAAGATAAATCTCCACTAGAATCTGCCTTTTAAATGTAAACAATCTGTTATTGTCTTCCCCATGCTAGTGCAGCGCAATGCTAACTTTGCGAGGAGTCCCGTGGAGGATATTTGAAACAACTGAGATGGGAACTGGGTTATCACGCAGCACACTAGTGCTTCTCTGGTGCTTGGCTCAGGAACACGGTTAGCTATTCTTACCAGATGTGGGGCATTAAAGGGCAGTTAGGAATGGGAGAAGAGCCAGGGTACGATCACTTGAGAAGGAAGAAAACCTCAAAAGCAAAGGAGAGCCGTTCCGAAGGAGCTGAAGTGAAAGCAGTAGCAAGAGGAGGGGAGGACCTTTTGGGGGCTGAATCAGATTGTGAAAGTCGAGTGGAAGCTGCAGAAACTGCCCAGGTGAGGACAGTCCACCTGCAGCTTGTACAGTTAGGGGATTTCTTGGCTGCTGTTGCTTGGAAGGGCTTCCATAAACTCCCTCGTGTATGCAGATAAATCACTCATTCATCACACAGTGAGGATACGGAGAACAATATTGGCTTTTTAGTTCAATGGGACTAGTTAGACTTCTGCTTTATTGACCTCTCACAGATTGTTCTGTTACTGCTTACGCTTCTATTCTTTCTCACGGTATGTCTCTGTAACGCAGGGGTGTCTGCTAATGGGCCAGGTGAGATACCAAATAAAGATGAAGCAAAAATTGAAGGACTGCATGTAAATGGACCTACCAGTGGCAAGAAAACACCTCACACAGATCTGGATACAAATGGGTATGAAACTGAAAACCTTTCCATTGACCCAAAACTTGCTCATTCAGCTTCAAGAAACGAAAATGATTTTGAAGAAAAAAACGAAAGACCTTTAAAAAGAAGAAGAATTAACAGCAATGGGAAAGAGAGTCCAGGTTCTTCAGAGTTCTTCCAAGAAGCAAACTCACATGGGAAGCTTGAAGAACTAGAAACTTTGGATGACTGAATACGAGGAGCTGATTTTATTCCTTGGAGTAAATTTTGGGTGTCTAAAATTTTCAGGGTTGATGGGTTACCTTACAAAATCCAGTTCCATAAAACAATCTGCTGAGATTTTTTCTATACACCTTCTAGTTGGCTCTTACGATCTGATTGTTTGGTTTTTTTTCAGTGCTGAAAAGCAGTAGGAGAATATTCCATTTCTCAGAGCTGGCAACTGTAGTTCTGGGAACTCTTAAGGCTCTTAAAAATATTTGAGAAACAAATCAGTGAGTTTCTGCAAAAATACTCCCAGCCTAATACATTAAAGAAACTTCTGTGTGTAATACACCATTTAAGCATTGTACAAGTGAACAAAACATCCTATTTGAAGCAGGGGGCTGGTTCAAATGTTGCAGGAAGTTAAAATGAAATACAGAATGCCAAGACACACATCAGAGTAGGCACAGAGACTTCCACTCATGCTAGCGAGAGGAAAGTGTCATCCCACTGTTAAGGAACCCTTATGAATCCTGAAAGTTATGAGCACAACTATTTTTATATATAGAAGTTTTAAAAGGTAAATAAATAAACCAGGTCAGGTTTGTGTATGTAAAATTGTTGACATCAATGATGTCTTTCCATATTCTTTATCTGGGCTAAAGAAATACATTCTGTATTTTTCCAGATTTCTTTGTAGCCTTTGAAAGATTTTTACAGTACTTATGTCTTGATTGAACTGTCCTTTCTTAAAACAAAAGCTTGTATAATTTTCTTAACTTGTACAGTTGGTAAACTTTTATGAGAGAATTGATATCCTGAGTCTAATGTCAGCTTCATTTTATTTTGCTGAACTCTTTTCTAAAAAAAAAAATCAACAAAAAAATCCCAAACCAAACCAATTGACTTAAAAAATGCTTATTAGTCACCAATATGTTACTTTCTTCTCAGAAAACAGTAAACAATTAACATCCAGAATAGTTAGAAGTCATTTGATTTTGAAAACATGTTTTTTCTTACTTCTGTTTTATGGCAAATAGTGACGCTAAAAATTTGTTAAGCATGATGCTTGCATTGCACAAATTTTCTTGCTTTCATTATACATTTTCTCATTTTATTTTGAGCTCAGATAGATTTCACGTCAGCCAAATGCTTAAGTTTACTAAACCTTGTTTGCCACGATCAGGTGTTAGGTTATCCGTTGATTTATTTTCAGCCTATCTATCATCTACATTTCACTGAGCACAGGAAGGGTAGGAAATGGGTCAAGTGATTCTGGCTGTACGGGTTAGAAATGGACGTGCAGCTGGTAACCTGCTGCCTGCGCTTGAATTTCTGAGAACTAGTGGACCTGATACGGATGGGTATCTTTAGTGGGAGCTGAAACATCACGTACACATACTTGGTACAGCATATGCACATATATACATTCAGTATATAGAGACTCACGTGTGCAAGAAGTGAGAATAGGTATGGATACCTATTTTAAGATTAAAGTGGGAGAAACGAAACTTCTTTGCAAATGCATGGAGGGGGTGCTGCTCACCCTCTCACTAGCATAATTTGAAACCCTACGGTTTACATCCATGAAATAGAAAGATTTTTAATAGCGGTGTTTGTTTTTTTTAATTTTTGTTAAGCCACAGCTACACATCTACTATATTAAAAATAGGAAAAATTGTTCATTTGTATAATTTATAATCTTGTCTCCTCCTCCTGTGGCTTACAGGTGTACTGTTCATTTTAATTGGTTATTTTTACTTGACGTTTATGAGTCTTTACAATTCCAGTTTTAAATGTACGATCCTATGGTTTGAACCTAACGTATCAACCTAAAAAAACCAACTGCTAAGGGTTTTGTTTTCTTCTTCAACTACGTGTACTTGGACTTTATGGTCATTAATGAGCCAACTCCTCTGGATCCGGCCTGGCTCCATCACCATGACGAGTTACTGGAGTGTATTAACCTGCTGTTCCCAGAAATGTTGTGAATGATCCGCTCTGACTGGTTCAGCCGTCGTGCAGCAGTTGACATCTGCCTAGAATTAGACAGCAATTTATGTGGGGAGGCACAACAGTAAGGTTTGCTAACGTATGGCCTGCATTAATCAATTAATTAATTGATTGCTTTAGCGAGAGGTTGCTGTTAACTTTGCAATCTGGTTTATTAACGGAAACCCAAAGTATCACAGCCTTATATCAAAGATGGTCTCAAGACGGTTTCAGACTGAGGGCAGTGCTTCTGAGAGTCTTTGCAACTAGAGTCCTATTTTCAATTTTATTTTTATGCATTTTTGTTTGCAAGTTGGAAATATTTCCAAAAATTTATAGGAAAGTTTATAAGTAAATTGTCTCAGGCTTGTGTGTGAAATACAGCACTGTGTATATTTTCAGGAATGTTGCTTTGTTTTATATCTTACCTTTTTTTGGTGATCTATACATAGAAGAGACCTGACATTCCATAATCAACAAATATGTAATGCTCAGCTAGACTTTTAAGAATATTTAATTATAATTTACATTTTGTTTATGCTGGTGTTTTATACAGTACTTTGTTCATGTTCTTCAAAATGCAGCCACTATAACTTGATTAAGTCATTGCACTACTAAAGCTATTTAAAATTCTAGAAATATAGTAACTTTGATTTCATTCAGAAAGCTTTCAGTACAGTTTGGAGCCCAGAAGTGTTCGAACGTGTTTCCAAACTGCGCTGAAAAGATCACAACTTGCATGTGACACTTGGGTATGTTTTTTCAAGCGCTATCGTGATGGCTTCGGCTGGAGCGGGTGTCCTGGATTCATGAAGTGCTTTAAGACTGCAGCCTGAACGGAGAATCCAGTTCAACAGAATAAATCCTTGCTGGGCTTGCTAAAGGATTAAACGTGATAGTAAAAAAACAACTACACACACACACACACAGACAAAATTTACAAATTAGTTTTATACATTTTTCCACACATAGTAATTTTGCACTGTTAGTAATTCCCTTCTCTTATCCCCGCTCCCTGTCTGCAATTCTGAAAAAGCTTATTAAAATATTTTTTTAAACGTACTGTTTGCATAAAAAATTCCTGAGTGTTTTGATCAGAACAGCGGGTAGAGTACTTCTGCTCACAGAGGATGCCAACACCCCATCCCCTTGTAGCGGGGTGGTAGTGACTCCCTAACTGCTGCGGTGAAAACCGCAGAAACAAAATACCCTTTTCTGATTAAACTTTGAACCGTGTCTTTCAGTTCCCCTAAAACCAGGTCGCCCCAACACCCTTCGGCTGCCCCGAGTGCCCTGGGAGGGCGTTAGGTAGCCCGGAGCGGGCATTCCTCCGGGCAGCTGGAGGGCGGTGGGTCAGCCTGGGGAGAGGAGGGTTGTGCTGTACGCTTTAACGTAAAGGCAGCGTAATGTAAAGGAGGACAGAGAAGAGAGCAAGCTTGGTGCTGCCATGGAGGACGGACAGGACGAGGAAGGGCGGCGGTGGGTTAGCTGTGGGTTACAACTGAAGAGTTAATTTTTATTTCTAAGTCAAAGGCCCGGTAAGTGCCAACACCGCTGTTACTTGCAGCCAGAGCACCGGGCAGGAGGTGCGGCAGGGACGTGAGCCGTCCTGCTGACGTTGGGACCAGCTCTTGCTCTGCAGTTACCGTGCACGCGGAGCCCAGCACAGTTTTTTAAATGGGAGCATTAAGCACCTCGCAGAGTGCCGCATTCCCCCGTGTAACACCCCACGTTACAGCCCATGTAACAGCTCGGGCTAGCTGAGAAGAAGGAAAGGGACCGATTTTAGCAAAGCACTGGGGGCTTTTGGTTTTGGTTTTCCCATTAGGATCTTTTCCTCCTCCCTTCCTCAAAGAATATTTAAAGCTGAAAACCCAAGAGACCTCCCTCGCCCCTGCTTCCCCCACGTGTACCAGAGTACACGCAGAAGGGACAACAAACATGCTACCGCCGGGGTGCTGGGGGAGCCTGGCTGCACCCATTTTATTTGGCCTTTATCGCCAGCCTTTCTCTTCGTGCCACTCCAGGGACGCAAGGGCCAGCTCCTGGCAGACGGCAAGAGCAGGCCGGGTAGGAGGAGGGAAGGTCATTGGTTTATTTGAAGCCAGTACAAAAATACATAGGCACATAAAATCTTTTTTTTTTTTTTTTGCTATCATCACTGATGGACATATAAAGCCTGCCATACATTCAAATAAAAAGATCACCTTTTTAATCACTAAAATGGTCATTTTGTAAATACTCCATATAGAAAAATTTTAGTTGATTAATAGCATAGAAAATACTGTTTGCTTTCCCAGTGTATACAATACCATCCAGACCCTGGCACCGAGGTGTGCCCAGTTACAAACAAAATAAGCTTTAAAAATATTTTACCGTTTGGACAATAAATCTAACCAGTAGATTCAAAAAATAAACAAAAATCAAACCTTTCGACAGAATCCACAGCCTGACTGCGAACGCCTCAGCCCAGCGAAGTTACAAGCAAACGTGGCAAAAAGTCATTTCCAAATACTTCTGTTCAAGCGAGGGAGGCGAATGCAGGGGTGCGGCTGAAGGAGGGGGGTTCGGCACAGCGAGAGCAGGCGCTGGAGGGGGCTGCGGCGGCTGGAAGCTGCAGGGACCAGGGGAACCCGGGACCGGGGGTCTACCGGCCCCAGCACCGCCCGGCTGCTGGGAACCAGTGCTGGGACCAGTAACCCCGCCTGGAGCTGATGGGCAAGTAGCTCTGGGTCTTCTGCCCAGCAGGAAGCATTTAGCCAGCAGGAAACATTTAGCATCTCCCCCCCCCCCCCCCAAAAAGAAAAAAAAAAAAAAAAAGAAAAGCTTTGCGGCTGATTGCAAATCCAAGGCTTTAGGGAAATTTAGGAAGCAGTAAAACTGATTGGGGTATTTTTTTCTTTCTCCGATTCTGCACTACGAGGGGGGAGCCCCACTGAAGGGTGCTCCTCGCTCCGGGGCGCACCGGCTCAGCCCTCTGTGCTGCCGCTAATAAATACCGTAAGCACACCAATCCCCTCCACCCCCATTCAGCACCCGCTGCCCCGAAAGGCCGGCCCC